ATGGTTAGTTCATCATCCATCACTGGGCCAGTGTTCTGCAACTATTCAAAGATTTTCTCTGGCCAATTATTTCAGACTTCAACCACGAGGTCCTTTTCCCCAGTTTGTCTACTGAAATGTGTCCACCATGGCGACCCTGTTAGTATTTGAAATATCAATGATATAGCTTCCAGTATCATAGCAACACGCAGATCATCACAGGAAGACAAACTGATAGATTAGTGGTGGCCTATAAATAGTAGTAAATATTCAGAATCTCTCTTTTGTTCTGCTTTTGAGTTGAAAACTTTGGTCAGGGGCAAAGTCTTCCAAAATGTCCACTGCAATAATTCCTAAGTATCCTTGATAAAATTATGCTTTTTAGAAAGGCAAATACAATAAAGAGCAAAGGAGTCCAGAGCAATTTCAGGAAGAAGCACAAGCTTATTAGAAGAGTTCATTCATTTACAAGATAAAGGTTAGTCAAAGGGAAAATTGCTTACTGTCCTAAGTCCTCAATTTAAATTAAGCCCCTGGCTGCTGGTTCTGAAAAATCAGCAAGATTACTTAAGATGACTTCTTCCAAAGCCAAATTTCAAACACAGACAAAATTGTTTAAAGTTCTTATAGATACATAACACTGTAACCAACTGACAGAATGGTGAGTGTGGCAACAGTGCTTTGCCACCTTCAACAAGGAAAACAAAAATTAGTACAAATCTGATCCAGTAACCAAAATATCCTGGGGCTCTTCTATTAAAGACAAACCAAATAAACATCAGCTAGCTTTGGGAGCTCAACAAAAGAAGAATCCGCACTCATAATAAGTTCTGGACTTACCATCATAGAGTAGGAATCCCCTAAATCAGGAGGCTATGGAGACATCCACAGAGTCCAGTGTAAGATGCAAGTAGTACTAGTAGCGTGGGGCCTTGCTTAAATCTTCTTGGGCCTTCTATGACTATCAAAGTCCTAAGACACCGTGCGAAGACCACCAGGGAAACCTATTCGTCATAGAAAGTAGAATCTGTTAGAATTTCTGACTTAAGGAAGAAAACCACCTGGACAGACTCTCAGCATCTTAAAGCGAGGAACATTACCTTACTGTGGAAGAAATAAATATGATACAACTATTCATTCTTCTTTCTGAAGCAGCTAGTATTACTAATGGAGTTAAAGAACTGCACACTTTGGCCTTTATAGAATTATAATGACTTCATATACCCCATTGCTATAAAATTGATTTGAACTCATAGTGACCCAGCAGGAAAGAGTAGAACTGTGCTAGAGGGCTCCCAAGGGTGCAGTCTTTGTGAAAGCAGACTCACATCTTTCTCCTACGGAGCAGCTGGTAGGTTTGAATCACCAACCTTCTATTTAGCAGCCAAGCACTTAACCACTGTGTCACCAGGGGTCCTGTAATTTCATATAACGGAAGGTGACCAGATTTTAACATTGGTAAAGCGGGACACCATTGATAAAACTCATATCCTGGCGAAATAGCCACATGGCAGCCAAAAACTGTATTCCCTAGCTTGTCGTGCATACTTTCCAAAAATTGGGACTTTTTTAAAAGGCCGCGGGAAGCGGGAAAATTTGTTAAAAATCGGGACATCTGGTCACCTTACTAAACCTCATTGCCTAAGAATTGGTTCTGACTCATAGCAAGCCCCTGTGGGTTTCCAAGACTAAATCTTTTACAGGTGTAGAAAGCCTCATCTTCCTCCCTTGGAGGCTCGTGATTTCAAACTGCTAACCTTGTAGTTATCAGCCCAATGTGTATCCCTCTGCCCACCAGGGATCCTTTGTGCTGATTAACATCAGAAAGGCAATCTATAGTAGTCCTACAATAGAAAGAAGTATAGACAGAGTTCCTTAAAAGCAAGGATGTGAAACATTATCTTTTGTGCTTTGGACATGGTGAACAGAGGCATATCTAATGTATGACACTTGGTGGGGGAGATGCCAATGAGTAGTTTCTATTGGCAACCGTAGTTTCCATTGTCTGTTATGAGAGATCATTCAGCGATTTAAAACTAGTTACTATAAGTGCTATTCTCTGTAGACACATTGCTGATCAGAAGGATCAAAATCCCCGGACAATGACATTGTGCTTGGTAAAATAGAGGGCCACTGAAAAAGAGGAAGACTTTCACCAAGTTGAATTTGCCCAGTGGTTGCAGCAGTGGGCTTAAGCATCGTGGGGATGGTACAAGAGCAGGCACTGCTTCAGTCGGTTGGGCATAGACTCGCTATGAGCTGGAACTGATTCACCAGCAGCAAACAGCAGCATCAATTTATCAATCGCTACTAGTGACTACAGATAAAAGTAGATGGTGATTTCACATGGCAGCTGAGTTAAATTTGTTTTGAAAGGGAAGATTGCCAGGTGACACTGAATTAGATGGTCAGGGTTTTTCTCCAGCCTGTTTTAAAAGGGCATTGCAAAAATGTTATTTTTCTAAAATAAAACCAAAGGTCTGACCACACCATATCACTCCATAGTCAGAAGGAAGATGGGAGGAGTTTGTAAAAAGAATATTGAAAGCATCTGAGGAAAATTGAGATTCAAGCCCAGACTATTGGCCATGATTATAACTGCAAACTGAAAGCCCAAGCCCACTGCCATTGAGTCAAATTTACAGTTTTGTCTTCAACCACCTGAGACAATAGTCATCTCAATTCAAAGATGTGCAGTGTACCCTTGTTCTATCCTTTAATCTGTAAAAGTTCTGCATGAGCATAATTGAGTGTTCGGGATTCTCATTCTTTGCAATGTTATTTATAATGTGTTGTGATTCATATAGTCGAATGCCATTGCATAATCAAGAAAGCACAGGTAAACATCTTCCTGGTATTCTCGCTTTGAGCCAAGATCCATCTGACATCAGCAACGATATACAGTGAACCCTCGCCACTTCGCGCTTCGACTTCCGCGGCTTCACTCTATCGCGGTTTTTGCATAACAGCGCATGCTCTGTCATTACTGCCACTGATTGGCTCATACTGTACACACTTCTGTCTGCATCGCTACGTATCAGAGCTACGTATTAGATGCATTTTTGCTTTTGTACAGTGTACTGTAATTGTTTGCGATTTTTAAGAAATTTTATCTAAGCCCTATGATGGCTCCTAAATGAGCTGCTTCTTCTAAGCCTTCTGACAATAAAAATAAGCGCCAGAGGAAGATGCTCACCATCCAGGAAAAGGTAAAACTTTTGGATATGATCAAAGATGGCAAGAAAATCGTGGAGGTTGCACGCCATTTCGACTTGAATGAGGCTTCTGTTCGCTCCATCCGGTTGTACTTCATAATATAATAAATAATAAATGATAATTGTAACGTCCAAAATGTTTTACTGCATTTTCCCTTTTTCGTTTAATAAATTGAGTAATACGAGTGTAATGGTGACTAAAGGGTGTTTTTTCATGTCCTCTATGCTCTAACTACGAAAATATTTGATTTACAAATAAGGAATCCTACTTCACGGAATTTCATTTATCACGGTAGGGTCTAGAACCGATTAACCGCGATAAACGAGGGTTCACTGTACTTTGTTCCATGTCCTCTTCTGAATCCAGCCTGAACTTCTGGCAGTTCCCTGTCAATGTACTGCTGCAACCGTTGTTGGATGATCTTAAGCAACATTTTACTTGTGTGCAAGATCAATGACTAGTGAGTTTGAACCACAGACCTTTTTAAGGTGACCAGATTTTAACATTGGTAAAGTGGGAGACCATTGATAAAACTCATATCTTGGCGAAATAGCCACATGGCAGCCGAAAACCGTATACCCTAGCTTGTCGTGCGTTCTTTCCAAATATCGGGATTTTTTAAACACCGTGGGATGAGAAAAAAATTGTTAAAAATCAGGACTGTACCGCCAAAATCGGGACGTCTGGTCACCTTACTTTTGGTTAGCACCTAATACTTAAATTGCTGTGCTACCAGGGCCATTTGAGGGGAAAGAATGTGCTTTTCAACATCTTATATCAAAGTAAAAGGGAGAATCACAGTTATTTCATATTTATCTGCCTTAGCTAAGTGTCCATTATCTCAGTCAGTTGATTTTAACACCTACACTGCAAGGTAATTATTGTTACTGTATTTTATAATATAATATAACCCTAGAGGCATAGTAGATTACAAGTTCGGTTACAGCTACAAGGCCAACCTTTGAAAGCACCAAGCAGTCGTTCCACGTGAGGAAGACGAGGCATTCTACTCTCCCCTGTAGGGTCGCTTTGAGCCAGAAGAGACGAGCACAGTGAACTGAGCACTTTATCAATGAGGAAATTAGGACAAAAGGGTTTGACCAACCCAGTTTGAACTTTATGTGAATTCCAAGCTCTTCTTGCTTACCAAACTAATTCATGGGACCTCCTGACATAAAATGAAAACCATATCATTTTCTGCATAAGCAAAGCAATAATAGATACCAAATCTCTAAAAGGTATTTCGATCTAAAGTCATGGCCTTGTAGCTAAGTATTACTTGTCTCAATTTGCTAGTAACAGAGACAAAACAACTCCATCCCTCTCGTTTAGATGAATTGGCCTAATATTAATCTTATCTTCAGATCAAAAAAACATTAAAATTAGTCATTCTTTCATGTTACAAAGACTCAGCTCACATATTCTCAATAAAAGACAAATGGGAAGTGATATTTGAAGAAAAAGATAATTTGTTTTATTTAGTCTGTTCCAATGAGCAAAAGTACTATTTATTTACAAAGCTTTACTGTCAAAATGTAGCCAAAGCTGGTGTAATATTTGGCCTGCTGTTCAATCACCATTTAAATGTCTCCTTTTTTTTAATTGCAGAAGAACTCTTTCTTAAAGAAATTCTCCTATACTGTCAATATTTACTCAAAGATCCTTTTATGTGTCAGAAGCTCTAAACTATATTTACTAGGTATAGATATGCTAAGCTGTTTTCTAGATATATTTTTGTCCCAGTAATAAAAAATAGGCAATATTCTCCTATGAGAGTAATTTGTGTGGTCTTTGTGGTTTTGTAGCTGCTAAATCCCGAAGATGACCTCTTACCTGGAAAGATTCGAGACAGTAATCGTTCAACCCTCCTCGCAACAATTCAGGAACATGGTTACCCTACAATCAACTTGGGAATTGTGGGAGACAAGTAAGTATTGAGTTTTAATTTTCTTAATTATTACTGTGCAAATCTGATTTTTTTTTTAGTATTAACTCTGGAGTTGCTGCTAATGAGAGAGAAATATTAAACCATAATTTTCACTTAATCTAAATATTCAAAAGCAGAACTGTGGATGTGTCTGTGTCCTAAGGTTTTATTTTAAAATGTATATTATAATACTCGATGTAGTTTGCTTTCCTATTTGTGTACTGCTAAGTTTGTTTGTTTGGTTGGTTGGTTGGTTGTTTAGTTGTTTTGGTTTTGGAGTGTTGGCTTTATCCTAGTGGAACAAGTGGTGGTGGTGTTTGTGTTAGTCTGGGTAGACTAGAGAAACAAATTCAGGGAAACTCATATGTGAATAAGAGAGAGCTTTATATAAAGAGTAATTGAATACTAATAAAACATCCCACCCCAGTCCAGATCAAGTCCATAAGCCAATATGGACTTGATACCAATATTTAAATTCCTCTAAAGACTCACAAAACACATGCAATGACACCAAATGCAGGAAGATCACAGGCCATTGGGTAGGAAGCCTTGTGAATTCAGTGGCATTGTAAGCATCTCAATGCTGGCAGGGGTCTCCGCGTGGCTCCTCCAGCTCAGGGCCTAGGGTAGTTCTGTGTATCTTCTCAGCTGCAATGTCTCCAAGGGAGTCAATAGAGAAAGAGTGTGTCTCCAGCCTCCAAGGAGGAAGACAGGAGTTCCAAGAATTCTCAGGAGACCATGCCCACACAGATGCCTCATTGGCTATATCCTGATCGACAGGCTGGACTCCACCCCTACACTCTTAATCCTCAAATTGACACCAGATTATACAACTGCCACAGTTTTATACCAGGTTATTCCTTTACTTGTTTCAAGAGAGACAGGAAACACATGAGTGAGGAGAGTAAGAGAGAATCGGAATTAGAACTACATGATTATTTGAAGTTTAAGTAACAGGGTTTCCTCAGACTTTAATATGGAATTTTGTTTTATATTAGACAGGTTTCTTTGGGCTTCACCTACTTGTAAGTACAAAGGGAGGCATCATGACCAGGTCATGGAGAAGCACCAGTCTTACACTCTGTTAGAAGTGAAAGCAGAGTTTTATTGAGAGAGAGAGAGAGAGAGATTTGCTGACTGGAAGACTCCCTACTGCCCAGGGGGGTTTTGTAATGACCTAGATTACAGAAGGACAGTGAGGCTTTCATTGGGTGGAGTAAACAAAGCTACATGCTCAAAGGCACAAAGAGAGAACACAGCAAGAAATTATAAGGAAAGGTTGTTAAACTGTAATTATTTTTAACATTAACAGTTCATTTTCTAACATCTGGTAATATATTGATCAAGGCAAGCTTTTAAGACCCCAGGCTTTTTAAGTAGGTCACTTATATACTGTTAGCCACCTACATCTTCATAGATTCTTCCGAGAGGAGAGAAAGTCAGACACTGTTTCCAAAAGAACAGGAAGGTAGAGGAGGGTACAGAGAAGTAGCTGCCAGCAGAGGAGCCGAGGGAGCAGCAATCGGGGCAAGGGGTCCGCAGAATAGAACTCTGGCTTTATAGTTCCTTATTTTGCTTAGTGTCTCCAAAAATTGTATTCTGTAACTTTTTATTTTGTTTACTCAATTTAGAAACAGCAACTTGCTGAGAGATTATTTTGATCTTTTTGAGAGGCCTTAAAGTACCAATTTTAAAAGGTTTCTCCTTGTAATTTCTTAGTCCAGGAACCTTCATTTTCTACTTTACTACCAAAAAAAGATAGTAATTAAGTTGGAAAGATCAAAAGTTCCAGAGTGACCACTGACATTCTAAACTGCCTTGATAGTCCATGTCAAACAAGTATGACAAAGAAGCAAAATGTAGGCGTTCCTGAAGAAAGCACTCTTGGGTTTGGCTTTTTCAATGTCCAGTGTTCCATGTTCAATGGCAAGGCAAAGTTAACTTTGGAAAATTTTCAAACAGAAGGTCAGAGCTTTCGGTTTCTTAGAACTTGTTAAGCTACCTAAGGTTCTGAGACCCTTGGGCACCAACTGTATGGAACCTGCAAACCCAGTGAATTTAGACAAATTCTACAGTCCCCTTCTCAGGAGCTTCTGTGTAAAGAGAACAAAGGCTCATGCCCTAGAAGACACTTTCTGTAAGTCTCAAAAGTGACACAGAAACAGTGAGCCCAATGTGATCCAGCCTGGGACCAGTTACCCAGCACCTTGGAAGTTACAGCGGCAAATTCACCTTCAAGTTGACTCATGGTTGCCAAGAAAGTTATAATGAAGCATCACTGTAGAAGGCAAAGCAGCCTCACAGAAGGATCACAAGGAAAGAATGAGTCAGCCAGGATGCAGCACAGCACCAATGGAACACACAATTTTCCTCTAGTTCTTAAATGCTTCCTCCCCCCACTATCATGACCCTAATTCTACCTTATAAATCTGGCTAGACTGGAGCATGTACACGGGTACAGATATGAGCTCTCAACACACAGAATCCAGAACAGATAAACCCCTCAGGACACCAGTGGAAGTGGTGATATCAGGAGAGTAGGAGGAAGGTGGGTGGAGAAATGGGGAACTACAATGACGTATAACTCCCCAACCTCCCGAGTGGGACAAACAACAATAACGTGAGCAAAAGGAGACAGCGGGCGGTGTAATATATGAAAATAATTATAATTTATCAGGGGTCCATTAGGGTGGGAGGATGGAGAAGGGAAGGGGGTAAAAAGGAGGAGCTGATACCAAGGGCTTAAACAGAAAGAAAATATTTTTTAATCATTTTATTAGGGGCT